TAGAGTGCATTTGGATGATCCAGTACAGTACAGATTAATAATCGATAATGTTGTATGGGAAAATGTACCAAATAATGGCCTAGCCCAGTAAGGGACAGGTGGCTGCTTGTATACAAGGGAGTATAAAGAACACAGGGTCATTCCATTTTATTTAAGCAAGCCATGACACCCACCATCTCAGATTGTTCTGAAATGGTTTCTGTAGTTAAAAACAGATAAGCATTCCTGCAACATTCTTTTGTTGAAAGATAATTTGAACTAATTGATTGCACCCAAATTGGCCATTTCAATTTATAGGATTCATATGATATTCAACAAATATAGTACCCAACATCCGATTTGGACCAAACGTCTTCTTAACAATGATTAATTATGATTAAATTGTCAAAAGCCACCCACGAACACCCCCAAACTCCACACCAAGCCCACCCCCAATGTCCAGAATACAGTATCCATTCTCTGTTTGAAAAGTAGTATGAAGCTGCGGCTTGGAGTATTGTTTATTGATACTATAATGTATTCTCAGTGAATTTGGTGATGTTCTTTCCCCCTCTATTCAAAGAAATTAGCCATTGAAGAAGCTTGCATTTTTCCCCATAAAGTACTGTGAAAGTACCAGGTTTTGCCCAATAGATGCTGATTTTCCTGCTACTGCCACACCATTTGTGTTTACTAAATGATCACAACATTTTTATTGAAACTTTGAGGAAAAAAAAAAAAAAAGCTTTTGCTCGTTATAAAAATAAATGGTGTGCTCACAATTCAAGCCAATCCTCCATGAAAGCAATTCCGTTGGTTCTTCTCTTATGCTTAATCTGTGTCCAGGAAACGACCCTGTGTGTGTGGTTTATTCCCTTTAAAAAAATCTGGATTAGGCCATTCCTGGTGAACAAGCAAACCATTAGGCTACAGCAGTGCTAATGGTTTCAATGTTATGTTCTCTAGCTAAGGGTCTTCAATGGTAAAATTCACAAACATGGTGTTTTGCAATGGTAATGGTATTGGGTTAGATATAATGGTAAATGTCACTAATCACACAACATATAAAGATGTTTTCCAATAATTGTATTTAAAAACATGAATGCCATGAAATGGTTTATAATTGTATTATATTGTTAGGGTTGGCACAACAGTCACTAGCCCATTTCTCCATAACATTTTTCAGTCTTCATATGAGAATTGCACCATAGGGATAAACCTCTCAGAGCTTCTATTTGTTGGACTATTCAAGGAAGAATACTCCAAGCCGCAGCTTCATACTACTTGACCAACATAGAGAACTGATACTGTATACCGGCTATTGGAGTGGGCTTGGTGTGGAGTTTGGGGGTTCCATGGGTGGCTTTTGACAATTTATTTGGATTCCTCACATCTTAATCATTGTTAAGAAGAGGTTTTGTCCAAATCAGATGTTGGGTACTATATTTATTGAATATTATATGAATCCTCTAAGTTGAATTGGCCAATTTGGGTGCAATTAGCTAAATTTCAAATTCAAATAATATTTAAGCAAAATAAGGTTTCAGGCTTGCCAATCTTATGTTTCCAACTACAGAAACAATTTCAGCACAATCTGAGATAGTGGGTGTCTAAATCCACTTTCTTGTGCTTTTTGAGTTGGAATGACTCCACGGGCAGATAAGAACCTGCTGAGGTTTCTGTTGTGCCTGGATAGATGGTTGCCTGTATCTCCCCCTTTCAGCCCTACCAATCTACTCCCATGTTCATCACAATCAGCACAATCCTGACCTGTAGGTGTGTGTAGGGGTGAGGTAAGGTTGGGATGGGGGATGGGAGGGCTCATGAGGGGGGCCAATTTTGACTTCCAGTGCCTTTTTATATATAGCACATATTGTTCTGTCTGTTAGTGATTTCCAGTCTGCATGTAAAACTCCTGAATGCAAATATAATATCTGATCAGGAAGTAGTGAATCAGATTTTACCCAGGTTGCCCTGACCTAAATCATGTCAGACAAGGATGGTACACCATCTGTCCGACATGAGGGAATAGAGACATGCATATGTCAGCGTATTGCTTTGAAGGGCATGCAGAACTGCCATCTGCCATGTTGCCACAGGCAAGGCAAGAGAACTCATCTAGAAGTAGCCTAAAACTGGATTTCCCATGTGTTGTTTAGAAGCACTTCTTTAGTATGCTCTTTGAGATGTTTTGATTTTCTGCTTTCAAATTAGCAGAAATTAGCAATTCAGATTATATTTGATAGGGCCTTACTATACAGTTCAAATAATCTAACTGGAATCTAAAACATTGCATGATGTGCAGTATAAAATAAGTTATTGTCGTTCTTTTAAAAGCCTATCAAATCAACAAATGGCACTTTCCTGTCAATTCTCTCAACTGATTGGCTACCTAAACAAAACTGCTAGGCAACGCTGCTAACCTTTTTGAGGGGAATTAAGAAGGGACAGCGTGACCCTTTGTTAGCGCAGAGAGATTGTGGTTCCATGTCACATTGAAAGTGGGCATTTAGGAGTTTATTATTTTGCTTTTCTCAGTACTACTACATGACTGACTGACTTTTGACTGCTGTAGATATAATACTGACTGTCTGACCTATACTTCCGTAGTGGTATTAGGTACTGGGACAATAACCCATTTTAAAATGGAGATGATTTATTACATTATTTTATGATTTGATCCAAAAACGGCTATTTTTTGGCTGATAAGAAGAGGGGAATTGTGGATAGAGAGATACAAAGATGAAAAGGTTGACACTTGCCAGACTATTTCAGGAAGAGGTGTTGGATTTTACAGAGAAAAGCATGCAAATTGATGAATGAATAAAAAACTGGGTCAGACAACACAAAAAGCTTTGGGGAGCCTAAAACTCTTGAGACAGATAATGTCTCTGGTGTGTCTGTGGCATGATGCTGCTTATGCAGCGCTTGTATTGGGGCCAGGGGGCGTTCTAAAGTACAGAGGTGTGAAATGCTGCTTAAAGCTGCTTATGCTTGTCAATTTAGGACTGGTCTACTGTGCATTATTTTGTTAGTTGTTACATCAACAATGTAATTTGAAACATGGGAGTGGAAAGAGGGGCGTTTGTGAAACATTTGCTCTGAACCCTATTAACAGCATGACTGGAGATGACTAAAGGACACTGAGGGTATTTGCATGCCAATGCTGGTGTTGAACTACAGTGCCTTCGGAAAGTATTCAGACCCCTTGACTTTTTCCACATTTTGTTATGTTACAGCCTTATTCTAAAATGGATTAAATAAATAAAAAATCCACAGGAATCTACACACAATACCCCATAATGACAAAGCGAGTGAAAACAGGTTTTGAGACATTTTTGCAAATTTATTTTAAAAAATTATCAGAAATACTATTAGTATTCAGACCTTTTGCTATGAGACTCGAAATTGAGCTCAGGTGCATACTGTTTCCATTGATCATCCTTGAGATGTTTCTACAACTTGATTGGAGTCCACCTGTGGTAAATTCATTTGATTGGACATGATTTGGAAAGGCACACACCTGTCTATATATGGTCCCACAGTTTGCAGTGCATGTCAGAGCAAAAACCAAGCCATGAGGTCGAAGGAATTGTCCATTGAGCTCTGAGACAGGATTGTTTCGAGGCACAGATCTGGGGAAGGGTACCAAAAAATGTCTGCAGCATTGAAGGTCCCCAAGAACACAGTGGCCTCCATCATTCTTAAATGGAAGAAGTTTGGAACCACCAAGACTCTTCCTAGAGCTCGCCGCCTGGCCAAACTGAGCAATCGGGGGAGAAGGGCCTTGGTCAGAGAGGGGACCAATAACCTGATGGTCACTCTGACAGAGCTCTAGAGTTCCTCTGTGGAGATGGGAGAACCTTCCAGAAGGACAACTATCTCTGCAGCACTCCACCAATCAGGCCTTTATGGTAGAGAGGCCAGATGGAAGCCACTCCTCAGTAAAAGGCACATGACAGCCCGCTTGGAGTTTGCCAAAAGGCATCTAAGGACTTTCAGACCAGACAAGATTCTATGGTCTGATGAAACCAAGATTGAACTCTTTGGCCTGAATGCCAAGCATCACGTCTGGAGGAAACCTGGCACCATCCCTACAGTGAAGCATGGTGGTGGCAGCATCATGCTGTGGGGATGTATTTCAGCGGCAGGGACTGGGAGACTAGTCAGGATCGAGGCAAAGATGAACGGAGCAAAGTACAGAGAGATCCTTGATGAAAACCTGCTCCAGCGCGCTCATGACCGCTGACTGGGGCGAAGGTTCACCTTCCAACAGGACAATGACCCTAAGCACACAGCCAGGACAGCACAGGAGTGGCATTGGGACACGTCTCTGAATGTCCTTGAGTGGCCCAGCCAGAGCCTGGACTTGAACCCAATCGAGTATCTCTGGAGAGACCTGAAAATAGCTGTTCAGCGACGCTCCCCATCCAACCTGACAGAGCTTGAAAGGATCTGCAGAGGAGAATGGGAGAAACTCCCCAAATACATGTATGCCAAGTTTGTAGCATCATACTCAAGAAGACTTGAGGCTGTAATCGCTGCCAAAGGTGCTTCAACAAAGTACTGAGTAAAGGGTCTGAATACTTTATTTTTTATAAATTAGCTAAATCTAAAAGCCTGTTTTTGCTTTGTCATTATCGGGTACTGTGTGTAGATTGATGAGAAAAAAAAACAATTTAATCTATTTTAGAATAAGGCTGTAATGTAACAAAATGTGGAAAAAGTAAAGGGGTCTGAAAACTTTCCGAATGCACTGTATGTGGTTCATGCCAATTTGAAGATGTACATTTAGTGGGTTTTAACAGGCCGTTGCTAACCTGTTTGCATGGTGTTATGATCTGAAGCGTCTTGTGAATTTCTTTTTAAACAAAGCCTTGCCTTGTGAGTTACTACCTAGCACTGTTATGTTCAGTTTACAATTCTGGTTTGATGTCTGAGCCGCCTCCATTTCACATTCACAGAAGACTGATGTAACTCATTTTCCTCCTCCTCCTCTCTTCTCACCCTTTTCTGCACAGGCGGTTTGTGCAGACGCAGGCAGCATGTCCGCCCCCACAGACCCAGAGGTGAAGGAGCTGAACCCAGTCGACTTCATCCAGCTACAGCAGTACATTGACTGTGAGTACATGCAGGCAGGAAGCCTCCTCAGCTCTGCATCGCCTTCCCCTTTACACCCACACGCTTTCATATATGGAAGTGGTGGTGGCTGTCTCTTACTATGTATCTGCAAAATGTGGCAGAATTGCGCCCACAATTTTTCTTGGTAGATCCGTGGATTCAGACATTTTGTGAACATCAATGTTAAGGAACATTTAAGAGTAGAAAACTGGATTTCTTATCATAGTGTCCGTTATCCATTTCAATTCCAATGCCATAATACACCTGTCATGTAATACAGCTGTCATGTTGCTATGTAGAACATGATATAATATATTTGTTGATTTCCGCCTACAGTGCCTTCAGAAAGTATTCATACCCCTTGACTTATTCCACATTTTGTTGTGACAGACGGAATTCAAAATAGATTAAATATTTTTTTTCTCACCCATCAACACACAATAATACCCAATAATGACAAAGTGAAAACATGTTTTTTGACATTTCTGCATATTTATTGAAAATGAAATATCTAATTAATATACAGTAAATATTCACACCCCTGAGTCAATACTTTGTAGAAGCACCTTTTTTGGCAATTATAGCTTTGCGCCATCTTGGGTATGTCTGTATCAGCTTTGCACATCTGGATTTGGGGATTTTCTCCCATTCTTCCTTGCAAATTTTCTCAAGCTCTATTAAGTTAGATGGGGAGCGGTGGTGAACAGCAATCTTCAAGTCTCTCCACAGATTTAAATGGGATTCAAGTCTGGGCTTTGGCTGAGCCACTCAAGGACTTTCACATTCTTGTTCTGAAGCCATTCCAGCATTGCTTTGGCTGTATGCTTGGTGTCATTGTCCCGTTGGAATGTAAATCTTTGCCCCCAGTCTAAGGTTGTTTGCACTCTGAAGCAGGTTCTCAACAAGGATTTGCCTATGTTTGGCTCCATTTATTGTTCCCTCTATCCTTACCAGTCTCCCAGTCCCTGCCGCTGAAAAGCATCCCCATAGCATGATGCTGCCACCACCATGCTTCATGGTAGGGATGATGTTAGACAGGTGATGAGCTGTGCCTAGTTTTTTTCAGACATAGCGCTTTGCATTCAGGCCAAAGTGTTACATTATTGTCTCAACAGACCACATAATCTTTTGCCTTATGCTCTGTCTTTCACGTGCCTTTTTGCAAACTCCAGGCGTGCTGTCATGTGACTTTTTCTCAGGAGTGGCTTCCATCTGGCCACTCTCCCATAAAGGCCAGGTTGGTGAAGTGCTGTAGAGACTGTTGTACTTCTGGCAGGTTCTCCCATCTCAGCCAAGGAATTCTGTAGTTCTGTCAGAGTGGTCATTGGGTCTTGGTCACCTCCCTGACCAAGGTCCTTCTTGCCTGGTTGCTCAGTTTGGTCGAACGGCCAGTTCTAGGGTAGCTCCATATTTTTTCCATTTCCCAATGATGGAGACCACTGTGCTCTTGGAAAATTTCAACACTCTAGAAATTGTTTTATACCCTTCCCCAGATATCGACCTCATCATAATTCTATCTCGGAGATCTACGGACGGTTCCTTGGACTTCATGGTATAGTTTCTGCTCTGACATGCACCATCAACTGTGGGACCTTATATAGACAGGTGTGTTTTTATTTCTAAATTTCCAAACAATTGAATTGGCCACAGTTGGACTCCAATCAAGTTGTAGTGACGTCTCAAGGATGATCAAAATAAATTGGATGCACCTGAGCTCAATTTGGAGTGTCATAGCAAAGGGGTGTGAATACTTATGTAAATGAGATATATCTGTATTTCATTTTCAATAAATTTGCAAACATTTCTAAAAACACGTTTTCACTTTGTCATTATGGGGTATTGTATATAGATGGGTGAGAAATCTATTTAATCCATTTTTAATTCAGGCTGTAACACAACAAAATGTGGAATACGTCAAGGTGTATGCATACTATCTTATAGTAATACTTATAGTTTCTGATTTATAGTTTCTGATTCTATACTCATTCTCTGTAAGAATCATTACTTAAACATTCATGTTGGTAGTACTCTAAAATAAGAGTTTGTGTGTGTGTGTATATGACAAGTGTGTCTCTTCTCCTCCCAGACTGCAGGCTGAAGGTTAAAGATGTGCTGAGGGAATTTGATGCAGATGGCAGTCTGGCCCAGCACAGACATGGAGAGGTGAGAGGAAACAATGGCCAGGTTGATATCGACCCCACCACAACTCATGTCCGCTCTCAGTCCCTCTTGAAAAATGTCTGGGGTACATTACTACACAGTTTGCCGTGACATGTGAGAGTGATTGTTATGCTCATGTGATACCCATTGGTTTTCTTTTTAGTAAATCTAATCTAATTTAAACATTAATCCGAGAACTGCAATATAAATCTAATAAAATAGGAGAGAAATGTCTTCAGGGGTTAATGAATTTGCAAACAGCTGAAGTTATTAATGGAATAACCCAGACTATTTGCATTGTTACCCCCCCCCCCCCCCCTCTTTTACGCTGCTGCTACTCTTTGTTCATTATCTATGCATAGTAACTTTAACTCCACCTACATGTACATGTTACCTCAATTACCTCTACTAACCTGTGCCCCCGCACATTGTCTCTGTACCGGTACCCCCTGTATATAGCCTCCCTACTGTTATTTTACTGCTGCTATTTTTATTTTTTATTTTTTAATTATCTATTTTTTACTTAACACTTATTTTTCTTAACTGCATTGTTGGTTAAGGGCTTGTAAGTAAGCATTTCACTGTAAGGTCTACACCTGTTGTATTCGGCGCATGTGACAAATATAATTTGATTTGATTTTAAATGACCTCTTCAAATCATGCCAATTCTGCAAGTTCTCTGACTGATGTTGTGCTGGCATCATGCAGAGTAAGCCATTAGGTGATTTTAACAGGACAGGTTTTCCAATATTGCCGATGTCAGCAGTTGGATTTGCCAAATAATTAGGGTAAATCCAATCTTCTCTCATAAGATGGATAAAAACAACACATAGCAACTAGGACTTATGGACTTGAGCTAGGGGTAACAATGGGTTACAGAACATAAAGACTGATATTTCTCAATGAGGATGATGACAAAGAAGCCGCACCTCTCGAAGTAGAGTAATTAAATGGAAAATCTGACTAAAAGCATTGATCAGTCAGAATCTCCTTTCTCTCCTTCTCTACCCAAGTCTTCTTAGCATTGAGGTTGAGCTGCCTTGCGGTGTCATCATGTATTACTGGGGCAGTTCTGTAGCGTATCACCTAGGGAAAAGCAACTACGACCAGAAATGGGTTTGTGGTTCAGTATTCCAGCGGGAGTTCTGATTTGTAGCCCTTAAGCAAATTACTCCCCCTAAATTATTCCAGGAATATCAGGCGGCACAAATGGATGAAATGTGATTTCCTTGGGTATCTACCAACCTGTTATAGTCTGAGATACAGACAAACTTCTCAGATGGAGTTTGTGGTTAAGAACAGGTAGCCTAGCCGTTAAGTGCATTGGGCCAGAAATCAAAAGGTTGCTGGTTCGAATCCCCGAGCCGACTAGGTGAAAAAAAAATATGTTGGTGCCGTTGACCAAGGCACTTAACCCCAATTGCTCCTGTAAGTCACTCTGGATAAGAGCGTCTGCTAAATGACTAATAAAAAACAGTTAAACATAACACACCAAATCCTCTCATCATTGTAATGTCTAGGAATTATTATTATTAGCACCCAAATCACTCTGCCCTAAATCAGAATGTTTTGATAAGAATAATGAGATCTCTGTCATCCTCCCATTTGATTGATTGATCGATCATTTGAATCATTGATTGATTGATTGATCTCCCATCCTCTGCTGCAGTGTATCAATGAGGAGGGCTTCCGTCTCTTCCTGAAGACTTATCTGGAGGTGGAGGACTTCCCTAAGGATCTCTGCCAGCGCCTGTTTCAATCCTTCCAGAGCGGAACTGAACCTGATGGGCAGGACAATGCTAGTACGTTTATTTACCATCGTGTAGACGCATATTATTGTCTGACTATACTCAGCAGTTTCACTATTCTCTGTTCTAATTAATTTATCAAAGTCCACAGACATGAATATGTGTGCTCTATGTGTTAACTTCACCCTCGTCCTTCACCTCCTCTCTCATAGAAGAGGTATTTTTGAAGGACGTTTCGTGTTACTTCTCACTGTTGGAGGATGGCCAGCCCAGAGACAAGCTGGAGTGTGAGTCTTGATCTTGTTTTCTGCAACATGCAGCAGCTCCATACTGCAGTCTCTTTTTATAGATATTTTGTTTGATGGCTTTGTCCAAGATTTTTATATGCCCATTTCTCCCTCTTTCAGTTGCTTTCAAACTGTACGACAGAGATGGCAATGGAGTCCTTGACAGCTCTGTAAGGCAATTAGTCATATTTTTTATGAACTACATAGAAATGGGTAATGGGTTTTGTACCAGATTACCCATTTCAGTGTAATAACATGTAATGACTGGCTGTTGTTGAAGGAGATATCACCTTATACCCTTTCATTTCACAAGGTATATCAGGTCTTCTGCTAACAATAACTGACGCTCTCCTTTCTGTATGAACCCAGGAGGTGGACCGGATCATTGCTCAGATGATGCACGCTGCAGATTACCTTGGCTGGGATGTGTCTGAGCTGAGACCAGTAAGTGTGGTCAAATATGGGATTTGTAACAATATCATTTTAATAGAGGGGAAAATACCTCAAGTCTTGTGCAAATATCTGCTGCACAAACACCCACTCAAGAATGCTCATTTAGATACTTAGTTATAAGGCACTTTCGTTTGTTCAGGTGCTGAAGGACATGATGATGGCTATTGACGCAGACAGCAGTGGCACGGTCTCTCTGGATGAGTGGGTGGAGGGAGGAATGAACAATGTCCCCCTGCTGGTGTTACTGGGTCTGAAGGTGGGTGAACCATGTTCCCCTGCTGGTTCGTGTTCATTAGGGACAAAATGGAAGAAAACTAGCTGATACAGGGAGGAACTACCTGAACTTGTCCAATAATAAGAAATGCATTTTTTCCCCATTGCAAAACATTTTGCTACGGTGTGCCTTAATGAACACGACTCTTGTGTTACTGGGACTGAAAGTAATCGGACCATCCATCACTCATTCCTCTTTATTGCGTCAGCAGGTTTTTTGTGGCGCCTGGGCTGGGAGGAGTACACATGATACATCCTCTTGATCTTATTTCCTAATGCATGTTTATACTGCTAATGTACTGTTTTTCTACCAGAGCTTCAGCAATATGCCACCGCCTCCACCAGTCTCTGGAGTTTATCTTTCATCTATCTCTCTCTCTCTCTCTCTCTCTCTCTCTCTCTCTCTCCCACTCTCTCCTTCTGCGCCACCCTTCTGCTGACTCAGTGCTGCAGGCCTGCTAATGTCGTCTCTTTCACATATACACTACCGGTCAAAAGTTTGGACACACCTACTCATTCAAGGGCTTTTCTTTTCTTTTTACTATGTTCTACATTGTAGAATAATAGTGAAGACATCAAAACTATGAAATAACACATATGGAATCATGTAGTAACCCAAAAAGTGTTAAACAAATCAAATTATATTTTATATTTGAGATTCTTCAAATAGCCACCCTTTGCCTTGACAGCTTTGCACACTCTTGGCATTCTCTCAACCAGCTTCATGAGGTAATCAACTGGAATGCATTTCAATTAACAGGTGTGCCTTGTTAAAAGTTAATTTGTGGAATTTCTTTCCTTCTTAATGCGTTTGAGCCAATCAGTTGTGACAAGGTAGGGGTGGTATACAGAAGATAGCCCTATTTGGTAAAATACCAAGTCCATATTATGGCAAGAACAGCTCAAATAAGCAAAGAGAAACGACAGTCTATCATTACTTTAAGACATGAAGGTCAGTCAATATGGAAAATGTCAAGAGCTTTGAAAGATAATTCAAGTGCAGTCACAAAAACCATAAAGTGCTATGATTAAACTGGCTCTCATGAGGACCGCCACAGGAAAAGAAGACCCAGAGTTACCTCTGCTGCAGAGGATAAGTTCAGTAGAGTTAACTGCACCTCAGATTGCAGCCCAAATAAATGCTTCACAGAGTTCAAGTAACAGACACATCTCAACATCAACTGTTCAGAGGAGACTGTGTGAATCAGGCCTTCATGGTCGAATTGCTGCATAGAAACCACTACTAAAGGACACCAATATAAAGAAGAGACCTGCTTGGGCCAAGAAACGTGAGCAATGGACATTAGACCGGTGGAAATGTGTCCTTTGGTCTGGAGTCCAAATTTTAGATTTTTGGTTCCAACCGCCGTGTCTTTGTGAGATGCAGAGAAGGTGGACGGATAATCTCTGCATGTGTGGTTCCCACCGTGAAGCATGGAGGAGGAGGTGTGGGGGTGCTTTGCTGGTGACACTGTCAGTGATTTATTTAGAATTCAAGTCACACTTAACCAGCATGGCTACCACAGCATTCTGAAGCAATACGCCATCCCATCTGGTTTGCGCTTAGTGGGACTATCATTTTGTTTTCCACACAATCAATGACCCAAAACACACCTCCAGGCTATGTAAGGGCAATTTTACCAAGAAGGAGAGTGATGGAGTGCTGTCTGGCCTCCACAATCACCCGACCTCAACCCAATTGAGATGGTTTGGGATGAGTTGGACCGCAGAGGGAAGGAAAAGTAGCCAACATGTGCTCAGCATATGTGGGAACACCTTCAAGACTGGTGGAAAGCATTCCTCATGAAGCTGGTTGAGAGAATGCCAAGAGTGTGCAAAGCTGTCATCAAGGCAAAGGGTGGCTATTTGAAGAATCTGAAATATAAAATATATTTTGATTTAACACTTTTTTGGTTACTACATGATTCCAAATGTCATAGTTGTGATGTCTTCACTATTATTATACAATGTAGAAAATAGTTTTAAAAAATAAAGAAAAACCCTTCAATGAGTAGGTGTTCTTAAACTTTTGACCGGTAGTGTACATATACTGCATCTCTGCACCACCAGCAGAGTGAGTTAGGCTTTTTCCATTTGAGCTATTACTTTCGACCACAACTCCATCTAGCATCATCCTCTGCATCAATTAGTAGTAACTACAACGCAAAGGAAGGAAATAAACATTGATTGTTACAGTATAAAGAGGAAGTGATTTATGTTTGAATCAAACTAATTGGGGTGCCACTGCCACTCTGATCTCCCAAGTGCTGATAGACTGTGTCTGGAAATACTAGTATCTGAGTAAATATCTCGGTATAGTGGGTAGGCCTACTTATTGATAATGCAGTTTGCTTCTGGGTCTGTTAGTTGACTGCCTGGCAAAGTGGACTGTCTGGCTAGCTGACTGTGAAGGTCTGAACTGTAAACTGGTCTCTCTCGCGCCCCTACAACAATGCCAGGGACTTCCCCTCAGGCTATTTCAGGCCACCAATGAGAGTCAGAGCACTCTCACTTTGCTGAGTTTAGGGGCTATGCTTCATACACTGACTGAAAGTCTGGCTTTGAGCTGAGGCACCATGAGTCATTTAAAAAACGTTTGTAAAAGCATTTGTTACTGTCGATTTCTGTCTAATCTGGATAAGAGCATACAGTGGGGAACATTTTTATTTAGTCAGCCACCAATTGTGCAAGTTCTCCCACTTAAAAAGATGAGAGAGGCCTGTAATTTTCATCATAGGTACACGTCAACTATGACAGACAAAATGAGGGAAAGAAATCCAGAAAAACACATTGTAGGATTTTTAATGAATTTATTTACAAATTATGGTGGAAAATAAGTGATTGGTCTATAACAAAAGTTTCTCAATACTTTGTTATATACCCTTTGTTGGCAATGACATAGGTCAAACGTTTTCTGTAAGTCTTCACAAGGTTTTCACACACTGTTGCTGGTATTTTGGCCCATTCCTCCATGCAGATCTCCTCTAGAGCAGTGATGTTTTGGCGGTGTGTTTGGAATCATTGTCATGCTGAAAGACCCAGCCACGTTTCATCTTCAATGCCCTTGCTGATGGAAGGAGGTTTTCACTCAAAATCTCACGATACATGGCCCCATTCATTCTTTCCTTTACACGGATCAGTCGTCCTGGTCCCTTTGCAGAAAAACAGCCCCAAAGCATGATGTTTCCACCCCCATGCTTCACACTAGGTATGGTGTTCTTTGGATGCAACTCAGCATTCTTTGTCCTCCAAACACGACGAGTTGAGTTTTTACCAAAAAGTTATATTTTGGTTTCATCTGACCATATGACATTCTCCCAATCCTCTTCTGGATCATCCAAATGCACTCTAGCAAACTTCAGACGGGCCTGGACATGTACTGGCTTAAGCAGGGGGACACGTCTGGCACTGCAGGATTTGAGTCCCTGGCGGCGTAGTGTGTTACTGATGGTAGGCTTTGTTACTTTGGTCCCAGCTCTCTGCAGGTCATTCACTAGGTCCCCCCGTGTGGTTCTGGGATTTTTGCTCACCGTTCTTGTGATCATTTTGACCCCACGGGTTGAGATCTTGCGTGGAGCCCCAGATCGAGGGAGATTATCAGTGTCACACTCCATGTCTTCCATTTCCTAATAATTGCTCCCACAGTTGATTTCTTCAAACCAAGCTGCTTACCTATTGCAGATTCAGTCTTCCCAGCCTGGTGCAGGTCTACAATTTTGTTTCTGGTGTCCTTTGACAGCTCTTTGGTCTTGGCCATAGTGGAGTTTGGAGTGTGACTGTTTGAGGTTGTGGACAGGTGTCTTTTATACTGATAACAAGTTCAAACAGGTGCCATTAATACAGGTAACGAGTGGAGGACAGAGGAGCCTCTTAAAGAAGAAGTTACAGGTCTGTGAGAGCCAGAAATCTTGCTTGTTTGTAGGTGACCAAATACTTATTTTCCACCATAATTTGCAAATAAATTCATTAAAAATCCTACAATGTGATTTTCTAGAAAAAAAATCTCAATTTGTCTGTCATAGTTGACGTGTACCTATGATGAAAATTACAGGCCTCTCTCATCTTTTTAAGTGGGAGAACTTGCACAATTGGTGGCTGACTAAATACTTTTTTCCCCCACTGTATAAAATCTGTGACCTTGTTACTGTGTTATTTAAAAACATTCATTCCATTCTCAGAACATTAAAACGTTCCATATAAACCACAAGAACTTTAGTAATGTTCAGAAAACGTTCTAAGAATGTTATTTAAAAACATACAGAACCTTATGAAAGTATTCATGCCCCTCAACTTATTCTAAAAGATTTTGTTACAGCCTGAATTGAAAATGGATTTAAAAAAATAAAATAAATTACACCCATCTAAACTCAATACCCCATAATAACAAAGTGAATACATGTTTAGAAATTGTTGATAATTTATTGAAAATTAAATACAGAAATATCTCATTTACATAAGTATTCACATGCCTGAGTCAAGACTTTGTAGAAGCATCCCTTGGTGGCGAGTACAGCTTTGAGTCATCTTGGGTATGTCTGTATCAACTTTGCAAATCTGGATTTGGGGATTTTCTCAAGCTCTGTTAAGTGGGGAGTGGCGGTGAATAGCAATCTTCAAGTGCTGTTCACCGCCTCCTTTTTCTCAGGAGTGGCTTCCGTCATGCCACTCTTTCATAAAGCCCAGATTGGTGAAGTGCTGTAGAGACTTCTGGGAGGTTCTCCCATATAGCCAAGGAACTCTGTAGTTCTGTCAGTGGTCACCTCCCTGACCAAGGTTCCTCTTGCCCGGTTGCTCAATTTGGTCAGCTCTAGGCAGTGTCTGGGTAGTTCCATATTTTTTCAATTTCCAATGGAGACCACTGTGCTCTTGGAAACTTTGAACACTCTAGAAATTGTTTTATACCCTTCCCCAGATATAGACCTCATCACAATTCTATTTCGGAGATAAACTGACAGTTCCTTGGACTTCATGGTATAGTTTCTGCTCTGACGTGCACTGTCAACTGTGGGACCTTTATATAGACAGGTGTGTTTCTTTCTAAATCATGTCCAAACAATTAAATTGGCCACAGGTGGACTCCAAGTTGTAGTAATGTCTCAAGGATGATCAAAGGAAATTGGATGCACATGAGCTCAATTTTCAGTGTCATAGCAAAGGGCTGCGAATACTTATGTAAATTAGATATTTATACATTTCAATGAATTTGCTAAAATTTCTAAAAACATGTTTCACTTTGTCATCATAGGGTATTGTGTGTAGACGGGTAAGATAATTGTTTTATTTAATCCATTTTTAATTCAGGCTGTAACACAACAAAATGTGGAATAAGTCAAGGGGTATGAATACTTTCTGAAGGCAATGTATACATTCATTTCTCAACGTCAATAAAATTCTCCCTATCACATTTTTCTCCCCAATTGGTAGTTAGTGTTGTCACATCGCTGCAACTCCCCTACGGACTCGGAAGAGCCATGCGTCCTCCGAAACACAACCTTGCCAAGCCGCACTGCTTCTTGACACACTGCTCGCTTAACCAGGAAGCCAGCCGCACCAATGTGTCAGAGGAAACACCGTCCAGCTGGCGACCGAAGTCAGCATGCAGGTGCCCGGCCTGCCACAAGGAGTCGCTAGAGCGTGGTGGGACAAGGAAATCCCGGCCTGCCCTAACGACGCTGGGCCAATTGTGCGCCACCTCATGGGTCTCCTGTTCACGGCCGGCTGTGACACAGCCTGGGATCGAACCTGGGTCTGTAGTGACGCCTCAAGCACTGTGATGCAGTGCCTTAGACAACTGTGCCATTCGGGAGGCTCTCTCTATCTTGTTTATGTGTGTTGGCTGTGCCCACTAATTGGCCACACCTGATCTTAATGAGTGCTTGTTTCCTTTGAAATGGGGTCTGTTTGAATAAACTAAAATGAACAGCTTTGTATGCGTAAAAAGGCCTGGCATGCTAGCTCTACCCTGGTGGCGCAGTAGACTAATTCCATGGACAGAGAATAGAAGATAATAGGTTCAAATTTCACTGATGCTGCGTCACAATAGAAAATAAAATGTTCCAAGCAAATGAATTTCTATTTGTACTTGCAGTGTCATTAAATGCCTTATTGAAACATTCACTAAAGGTTTTAAGGAAGTTATTTTAAAAACATCTGAATAACCTTTACATTTCGTTCTTAATGTTAAGAAAACGTTTAATAATAACCATAAGAGAATGTTCTCAGAATGTTATTTAATTAGCTTCAAATAACCTATAATTTCCGTTCTAAGAGCGTTAATAAAATCTCCCAGGAAAACATCCAAGGAACTTGAGTAAAAGGTTCTCAGAACCTCCATGCAACCTAAAAACAAATGTTCCCAGGACAGTCTTACCGGTCAGAAAATATAGTTCCCGGAACCAATCTGAAAACCAAAAACACACTACACACGTTCCCACAACTTCCAAGGAACCAACCCACTGGGCACACACTGGTTGAATCAATGTTGTTTCCACGTCAATGACGTTGAACCAACATGGAATAGACGTTCAATTGACATCTGTGCCCAATGGGAAATGTGCTAGCTGGGTTAGGATTGGTGTTGCTTAAGAGACGCATCAAAAGGGCTTATATTTACCCAAGGAGATTCCATGGAAATACGGTAGACATGTACATTCCATTCCTCATTTAATGTTCAGGTCTACTATGAAGCATAGTTTCTTCTCAGGCATCATGGCACGCTAAGGCCATATGATTCAAAAGCCAACTGTAAAAACCAACACAACTGTCATTCTGGGAGTGTCAACTCACAGAGACGATTATTTTTGCTGCTAACAGAATCACTAATAGCAAATGGCACCACAATTTCCAACCATGAGACAATATTAGAATGAGATGTGTATCAATGCTTGCATTGCTTACATAGTGTTTTCCAAATATGAGATCAGATTCAGACATTTTAACCTGAGATTCAGTGTTTGTTCTAGAAGTGTGCAGAAATGGTCAACAAACTTGTTTTTGACATAAAGATTCAAAAGCACATGCTTTATATATTTCATTGATGATAACATAAGATGTATTTTCTCCCCCTCCACCCCCAGATGACTCAGAAGGATGGGCAGCACCTATGGAGGATGAAGCATTTCAACAAGCCTGTCTACTGCAATGTGTGTCAGAGCATGCTGCTAGGACTGGGGAAACAGGGGCTTTGCTGCACCTGTGAGTGACACTGTCTGGTCTCACCACCAGAGGGCAATACAACTTAACTTTCTCAATCCACTCAAAGCAGAAAGACGTCAATCCTGATCATGCAATTAAAAGCAAATTAGTGAAATCTCACTCTCATAACCGGATTACGCTAAAATGTACGCTAAAATATGTCATAATGATCTATGACATCCCTGCGTTGCAGTATATTTCCAAACAATTTTCATATAAAAACAATTAAGTGGCAATATTTATTGCCTACTTAATCGTCAGCCTCGTTTCTAGTCTTGATTTAACATGATTAATTAAATCATTAAACAAGAGAGAATAACAATAATAGTTCAACAATGGAGACACATAATGCATTCTTCACTTGTCTTTGTTTTCAAGGCTGTAAATACACGGTCCATGGACGCTGTGCCAACAGAAACCCAGCTCCCTGTACCAGGACCTATGTCAAGTCTAAGAAAGACACAGGGGTATGAGTGTTTTTTTCCCCAAACAACTGCAAATTCCATTGTAAAATGTTATCTTAATATTTCCAATTCCTCTTCATTCTTAGTGGATGTTGTAATTTGAATGTCTGAGCCATTCTCTTTGTCCCTGTGTATGTACAGTATGTCTGTCTTGCATCTTACTGGGCCTGTGTCTCCTGCCTCAGGTTCCAACCCATGACTGGGTCAGTGGGAACTGTGACTCTGGGAAGTGTGACAAGTGTCAGAAGAAGATAAAGAGTTATCACGGACTGACGGGCAAACACTGTGTCTGGTGCCACTCCCTGGTGAGGAGGGAGGGCTCCTGAGTAGCCCTGTGGTGGGGAGAGTCAGGCCCCTTACAATTACATTTACATTTTAGTCATTTAGCAGACGCTCTTATCCAGAGCGACTTACAGTTAGTGATTACATATATATATATTTTTTTTTTATACTGGCCCCCCATGGGAATCGAACCCACAACCCTGGCGTTGCAAACGCCATGCTCTATCAACTGAGCTACATCCCTGCCGGCCATTCCCTCCCCTACCCTGGACGACGCTGGGCCAATTGTGCGCCGCCCATGAGTCTCCCGGTCGCGGCCGGCTGCGACAGAGCCTGGATTCGAACCAGGATCTCTAGTGGCACAGTTAGCACTGCGATGCAGTGCCTTAGACCACTGCGCCACTCAGTGGTCTAAGGCCAGATGTTTTCTTCCAAGCAGAGGATTTACATTAGTCTGTTCATGGAGTGGTCTTGCAAGAGCTACGTCTGGAACTACGTACTTTAATAATTAAGCACTGGGGTGGTGGATGGGTTAAGTTATTTTTGTTTTTTTAATAAAAAGAATAGACTCACAGCTGTAGAAATAATGAAATTGTTATATACAGTGGGGGAAAAAAGTATTTAGTCAGCCACCAATTGTGCAAGTTCTCCCACTTAAAAAGATGAGAGAGGCCTGTAATTTTCATTATAGGTACACGTCAACTATGACAGACAAATTGAGAAACAAATATCCAGAAAATCACATTGTAGGATTTTTAATGAATTTATTTGCAAATTATGGTGGAAAATAAGTATTTGGTCACCTACAAACAAGCAAGATTTCTGGCTCTCACAGACCTGTAACTTCTTCTTTAAGAGGCTCCTCTGTCCTCCACTCGTTACCTGTATTAATGGCACCTGTTTGAACTTGTTATCAGTATAAAAGACACCTGTCCACAACCTCAAACTGTCACACTCCAAACTCCACTATGGCCAAGACCAAAGAGCTGTCAAAGGACACCAGAAACAAAATTGTAGACCTGCACCAGGCTGGGAAGACTGAATCTGCAATAGGTAAGCAGCTTGGTTTGAAGAAATCAACTGTGGGAGCAATTATTAGGAAATGGAAGACATGGAGTGTGACACTGATAATCTCCCTCGATCTGGGGCTCCACGCAAGATCTCAACCCGTGGGGTCAAAATGATCACAAGAACGGTGAGCAAAAATCCCAGAACCACACGGGGGGACCTAGTGAATGACCTGCAGAGAGCTGGGACAAAAGTAACAAAGCCTACCATCAGTAACACAATACGCCGCCAGGGACTAAAATCCTGCAGTGCCAGACGTGTCCCCCTGCTTAAGCCAGTACATGTCCAGGCCCGTCTGAAGTTTGCTAGAGTGCATTTGGATGATCCAGAAGAGGATTGGGAGAAAGTCATATGGTCGGATGAAACCAAAATAGAACTTTTTGGTAAAAACTCAACTCGTCGTGTTTGGAGGACAAAGAATGCTGAGTTGCATCCAAAGAACACCATACCTACTGTGAAGCATGGGGGTGGAAACATCATGCTTTGGGGCTGTTTTTCTGCAAAGGGACCAGGACGACTGATCCGTGTAAAGGAAAGAATGAATGGGGCCATGTATCGTGAGATTTTGAGTGAAAACCTCCTTCCATCAGCAAGGGCATTGAAGATGAAACGTGGCTGGGTCTTTCAGCATGACAATGATCCCAAACACACCACCCGGGCAACGAAGGAGTGGCTTCGTAAGAAGCATTTCAAGGTCCTGGAGTGGCCTAGCCAGTCTCCAGATCTCAACCCCATAGAAAATCTTTGGAGGGAGTTGAAAGTCTGTGTTGCCCAGCGACAGCCCCAAAACATCACTGCTCTAGAGGAGATCTGCATGGAGGAATGGGCCAAAATACCAGCAACAGTGTGTGAAAACCTTGTGAAGACTTACAGAAAACGTTTGACCTGTGTCATTGCCAACGTGTACCTATGATGAAAATTACAGGCCTCTCTCATCTTTTTGCACAATTGGTGGCTGACTAAATACTTTTTTTCCCCACTGTGTATATATATATACACACAGTTCCAGGCAAAAGTTTGGACACACCTACTCATTCAAGAGTTTTTCTTTATTTTTACTATTTTCTACATTGTGGAGTATGGAAAAAGCCTAACTCACTCTGCTGGTGGTGCAGAGATGCAGTATATGTACACTATCGGTCAAAAGTTTTAGAACACCTACTCATTGAAGGGTTTTTCTTTATTTTTTAAAACTATTTTCTACATTGTATAATAATAGTGAAGACATCAAAACTATAAAATAGCACATTTGGAATCATCTAGTAACCAAAAAAGTGTTAAATCAAAATATATTTTATATTTGAGATTCTTCAAAGTAGCCTACTTTGCCTTGATGACAGCGTTTGGCATTCTCTCAACCAGCTTCATGAGGAATGCTTTTCCAACAGTCTTGAAGGAGTTCCCACATATGCTGAGCACTTGTTGGCTGCTTTTCCTTCACTCTGTGATCCAACTCATCCCAAACCATCTCAATTGGGTTGAGGATGGGTGATTGTGGAGGCCAGGTCATCTGATGCAGCATTCCATCACTCTCCTTCTTGGTCAAATAGCCCTTACACAGCCTGGAGGTGTGTTTTGGGTTATTGATTGTGTGGAAAACAAATGATAGTCCCACTTTTTTGGTTACATGATTCCATATGTGTTATTTCATAGTTTTGAAGTTAGTAATTTACTGTATAGAAATTAGTAAAAATAAAGAAAAGGTAGGTGTGGCCAAACTTTTGACTAGGAATGTGTGTGTGTGTGTATGTACAGTGGGGGAAAAAAGTATTTAGTCAGCCACCAATTGTGCAAGTTCTCCCACTTAAAAAGATGAGAGAGGCCTGTAATTTTCATCATAGGTACACGTCAACTATGACAGACAAAATGAGAAAGAAAATTCCAGAAAAACACATTGTAGGATTTTTTATGAATTTATTTGCAAATTATGGTGGAAAATAAGTATTTGGTCAATAACAAAAGTTTCTCAATACTTTGTTATATACCCTTTGTTGGCAATGACACAGGTCAAACGTTTTCTGTAAGTCTTCACAAGGTTTTCACACACTGTTGCTGGTATTTTGGCCCATTCCTCCATGCAGATCTCCTCTAGAGCAGTGATGTTTTGGGGCTGTCGCTGGGCAACACGGACTTTCAACTCCCTCCAAAGATTTTCTATGGGGTTGAGATCTGGAGACTGGCTAAGCCACTCCAGGACCTTGAAATGCTTCTTACGAAGCCACTCCTTCGTTGCCCGGGCGGTGTGTTTGGAATCATTGTCATGCTGAAAGACCCAGCCACGTTTCATCTTCAATGCCCTTGCTGATGGAAGGAGGTTTTCACTCAAAATCTCACGATACATGGCCCCATTCATTCTTTCCTTTACACGGATCAGTCGTCCTGGTCCCTTTGCAGAAAAACAGCCCCAAAGCATGATGTTTCCACCCCCATGCTTCACAGTGGGTATGGTGTTCTTTGGATGCAACTCAGCATTCTTTGTCCTCCAAACACGATGAGTTGAGTTTTTACCAAAAAGTTCTATTTTGGTTTCATCTGACCATATGACATTCTCCCAATCCTCTTCTGGATCATCCAAATGCACTCTAGCAAACTTCAGACGGGCCTGGACATGTACTGGCTTAAGCAGGGGGACACGTCTGGCACTGCAGGTTTTGAGTCCCTGGCGGCGTAGTGTGTTACTGATGGTAAGCTTTGTTACTTTGGTCCCAGCTCTCTGCAGGTCATTCACTAGGTCCCCCCGTGTGGTTCTGGGATTTTTGCTCACCGTTCTTGTGATCATTTTGACCCCACGGGGTGAGATCTTGCGTGGAGCCCCAGATCGAGGGAGATTATCAGTGGTCTTGTATGTCTTCCATTTCCTAATAATTGCTCCCACAGTTGATTTCTTCAAACCAAGCTGCTTACCTATTGCAGATTCAGTCTTCCCAGCCTGGTGCAGGTCTACAATTTTGTTTCTGGTGTCCTTTGACAGCTCTTTGGTCTTGGCCATAGTGGAGTTTGGAGTGTGACTGTTTGAGGTTGTGGACAGGTGTCTTTTATACTGATAACAAGTTCAAACAGGTGCCATTAATACAGGTAAAGAGTGGAGGACAGAGGAGCCTCTTAAAGAAGAAGTTACAGGTCTGTGAGAGCCAGAAATCTTGCTTGTTCGTAGGTGACCAAATACTTATTTTCCACCATAATTTGCAAATAAATTCATTAAAAATCCTCCAATGTGATTTTCTGGATTTTTTTCTTCTCAATTTGTCTGTCATAGTTGACGTGTACCTATGATGAAAATTACAGGCCTCTGTCATCTTTTTAAGTGGGAGAACATGCACAATTGGTGGCTGACTAAATACTTTTTTCCCCCACTCTATGTGTGTATATATGTATGTATGTATGTATATACAAAGCCATATCTCAGACTGCCCATCTTAATCTTGTATTTGTATTGGCCAGTCTGAGATATGGCTTTTTCTTTGCAACTCTGCCTAGAAGGTCAGCATCCCGGAGTAACCTCTTCAATGTTGACGTTGAGACTGGTGTTTTGCGGGTACCATTTAATGAAGCTGCCAGTTGAGGACCTGTGAGGCATCTGTTTCTCAAACTAGACACTAATGTATTTGTCCTCTTGCTCAGTTGTGCACCCGGGCCTCCCACTCCTCTTTCTATTCTGGTTAGAGCCAGTTTGCGCTGTTCTGTGAAGGGAGTAGTACACAGCATTGTACAAGATCTTCAGTTTCTTGGCAATTTCTCACATGGAATAGCCTTCATTTCTCAGAACAAGAATAGACTGACGAGTTTCAGAAGAAAGTTATTTGTTTCTGGCCATTGTAATCGAACCCACAATTGCTGATGCTCCAGATACTCAACTAGTCTCAAGAAGGCCAGTTTTATTGCTTCTTTAACCAGCACAACAGTTTTCAGCTTGCTAACATAATTGCAAAAGGGTTTTCTAATGACCAATTAGCCTTTTTAAATGATCAACTTGGATTAGCAAACACAACGTGCCATTGGAACACATGACTGATGGTTGCTGATAATGGGCCTATGTATGCCTATGTAGATATTCCATTAAAAATCAGCCGTTTCCAGCTACAATAGCCATTTACAACATTAACAATGTCTACACTGTATTTCTGATCAATTTTATGTTATTTTAATGGACAAAAAAATGGCCTTTCTTTCGAAAACAAGGACATTTCTAAGTGACCCCAAACTTTTGAACGGTAGTATATGTGTGTGTGTGTGTGTGTGTACAGTCGAGGTCATACGTTTTGAGAATGACACAAGTATTGGTCTTCACAAAGTTTGCTGCTTCAGTGTTTTTAGATATTTTTGTCAGATGTTACTATGGTATACTGAAGTATAATTACAAGCATTCCATACAGTGAGGGAAAAATTTATTTGATCCCCTGCTGATTTTGTACGTTTGCCCACTGACAGAGACATGATCAGTCTATAATTGTAATGGTAGGTTTATTTGAACAGTGAGAGACAGAATAACAACAAAAAAATCCAGAAAAACGCATGTCAAAAATGTTATAAATTGATTTGCATTTTAATGAGGGAAATAAGTATTTGACCCCTCAATCAGAAAGATTTCTGGCTCCCAGGTGTCTTTTATACAGGTAACGAGCTGAGATTAGGAGCACACTCTTAAAGGGAGTGCTCCTAATCTCCGTTTGTTACCTGTATAAAAGACACCTGTCCACAGAAGCAATCAATCAATCAGATTCCAAACTCTCCACCATGGCCAAGACCAAAGAGCTCTCCAAGGATCTCAGGGACAAGATTGTAGACCTACACAAGGCTGGAATGGGCTACAAGACCATCGCCAAGCAGCTTGGTGAGAAGGTGACAACAGTTGGTGCGATTATTCGCAAATGGAAGAAACACAAAAGAACTGTCAATCTCCCTCGGCCTGGGGCTCCATGCAAGATCTCACCTCGTGGAGTTGCAATGATCATGAGAACGGTGAGGAATCAGCCCAGAACTACACGGGAGGATCTTGTCAATGGTCTCAAGGCAGCTGGGACCATAGTCACCAAGAAAACAATTGGTAACACACTACGCCGTGAAGGACTGAAATCCTGCAGCGCCCGCAAGGTCCCCCTGCTCAAGAAAGCACATATACATGCCCGTCTGAAGTTTGCCAATGAACATCTGAATGATTCAGAGGAGAACTGGGTGAAAGTGTTGTGGTCAGATGAGACAAATGTAGCTCTTTGGCATCAACTCAACTCGCCGTGTTTGGAGGAGGAGGAATGCTGCCTATGACCCCAAGAACACCATCCCCACCGTCAAACATGGAGGTGGAAACATTATGCTTTGGGGGTGTTTTTCTGCTAAGGGGACAGGACAACTTCACCGCATCAAAGGGACGATGGATGGGGCCATGTACTGTCAAATCTTGGGTGAGAACCTCCTTCCCTCAGCCAGGGCATTGAAAATGGGTTGTGGATGGGTATTCCAGCATGACAATGACCCAAAACACACGGCCAAGGCAACAAAGGAGTGGCTCAAGAAGAAGCACATTAAGGTCCTGGAGTGGCCTAGCCAGTCTCCAGACCTTAATCCCATAGAAAATCTGTGGAGGGAGCTGAAGGTTCGAGTTGCCAAACGTCGGCCTCGAAACCTTAATGATTTGGAGAAGATCTGCAAAGAGGAGTGGGACAAAATCCCTCCTGAGATGTGTGCAAACCTGGTGGCCAACTACAAGAAACGTCTGACCTATGTGATTGCCAACAAGGGTTTTGCCACCAAGTACTAAGTCATGTTTTGCAGAGGGGTGAAATACTTATTTCCCTCATTGAAATGCAAATTAATTTATAACATTTTTGACATGCGTTATTCTGTCTCTCACTGTTCAAATAAACCTACCATTAAAATTATAGACTGATCATTTCTTTGTCAGTGGGAAAACGTACAAAATCAGCAGGGGATCAAATACTTTTTTTCCTCACTGTACTACCGTTCAGAAGTTTGGGGCCACTTAGAAATGTGTGTGTGTGTATGTGTATGTGTGTGTATATATATACAGTGGGGAAAAAAAGTATTTAGTCAGCCACCAATTGTGCAAGTTCTCCCACTTAAAAAGATGAGAGAGGCCTGTAATTTTCATCATAGGTACACTTCAACTATGACAGACAAAATGAGAAAAAAAAATCCAGAAAATCACATTGTAGGATTTTTAATGAATTTATTTGCAAATTATGGTGGAAAATAAGTATTTGGTCAATAACAAAAGTTTCTCAATACTTTGTTATATACACTTTGTTGGCAATGACACAGGTCAAACGTTTTCTGTAAGTCTTCACAAGGTTTTCACACACTGTTGCTGGTATTTTGGCCCATTCCTCCATGCAGATCTCCCCTAGAGCAGTGATGTTTTGGGGCTGTTGCTGGGCAACACGGACTTTCAACTCCCTCCAAAGATTTTCTATGGGGTTGAGATCTGGAGACTGGCTAGGCCACTCCAGGACCTTGAAATGCTTCTTACGAAGCCACTCCTTCGTTGCCCGGGCGGTGTGTTTGGGATCATTGTCATGCTGAAAGACCCAGCCACGTTTCATCTTCAATGCCCTTGCTGATGGAAGGAGGTTTTCACTCAAAATCTCACGATACATGGCCCCATTCATTCTTTCCTTTACACGGATCAGTCGTCCTGGTCCCTTTGCAGAAAAACAGCCCCAAAGCATGATGTTTCCACTCCCATGCTTCACAGTAGGTATGGTGTTCTTTGGATGCAACTCAGCATTCTTTGTCCTCCAAACACGACGAGTTGAGTTTTTACCAAAAAGTCATCTGACCATATCACATTCTCCCAATCCTCTTCTGGATCATCCAAATGCACTCTAGCAAACTTCAGACGGGCCTGGACATGTACTGGCTTAAGCAGGGGGACACGTCTGGCACTGCATGATTTGAGTCCCTGGCGGCGTAGTGTGTTACTGATGGTAGGCTTTGTTACTTTGGTCCCAGCTCTCTGCAGGTCATTCACTAGGTCCCCCCGTGTGTTTCTGGGATTTTTGCTCACCGTTCTTGTGATCATTTTGACCCCACGGGGTGAGATCTTGTATGGAGCCCCAGATCGAGGGAGATTATCAGTGGTCTTGTATGTCTTCCATTTCCTAATAATTGCTCCCACAGTTGATTTATTCAAACCAAGCTGCTTACCTATTGCAGATTCAGTCTTCCCAGCCTGGTGCAGGTCTACAATTTTGTTTCTGGTGTCCTTTGACAGCTCTTTGGTCTTGGCCATAGTGGAGTTTGGAGTGTGACTGCTTGAGGTTGTGGACAGGTGTATTTTATACTGATAACAAGTTCAAACAGGTGCCATTAATACAGGTAACGAGTGGAGGACAGAGGAGCCTCTTAAAGAAGTTGTTACAGGTCTGTGAGAGCCAGAAATCTTGCTTGTTTGTAGGTGACCAAATACTTATTTTCCACCATAATTTGCAAATAAATTCATTAAAAATCCTACAATGTGATTTTCTGGAAAAATTATTCTCAATTTGTCTGTCATAGTTGACGTGTATCTATGATGAAAATTACAGGCCTCTCTCATCTTTTTAAGTGGGAGAACTTGCACAATTGGTGGCTGACTAAATACATTTTTTCCCCACTGTATATATATATATATATATATATATATTGTAATAAAACCGGCAGGAAGCAGGTATCGAACCTTCTAGCCCGAAGTCCTAGCTAGGTGTGTCCAAACTTTTGACTGGAACTATATATATATATATATATATATATATATATATATATATATATATATATATATATATATATATAAGCACTTTGTCTACTGTTGATGTAAAAAAGGGTTTTATAAATAAAATGTTATTGGCTTTATAAATTAATAATTTGATAAGAGCTAGCTATATCACTGGCTGCTACTCTGTTCCAGCGCCATGATGACTGTCTCTCCCAGGAGCCCTCTGACTGTAACTGCGGAACTCTCAGAGACCATATCCTCCCCCCCTGGGCCATCTACCCTGTTATAAAGGTACAGGATCACCTACTGCCCTATTACAGTTGTCCAACACTGTAAAATGGCATTTACTTTATAAAGCTCACATAAAGATAATGTTAAGGAACCTCTACTGTGCGAAATAACTGTTTTCTTCTCTTAAATACAACATTCACTCGCATGCAATGGTAATAGTAGGATATAATGACCACCCATTATATCAAAATTAGAGTTTTAAAGCGTTTGTTTACATTTTCTTTGTTTACAAACATTGGAGAAAAACAAGTTTATATTTTGGGTTCTGATGGGGTACGACAGTTAAACTAAGCTCATGAGGCATTTATAAGATATATAATTAATTTATAAGTCCAAAAATGTATGTAGCAACTGCTGATTTCCCCCTTTTAAAGTATAATTGAGAAATAATTAATTCAAATTGGAACATTTGTGACATTTTGGCCTTACCCAGGCCTCCTTTAAGACTCCATAATATTGAATCTGTAGGTGCTACAAAAATTGGTGTCATATGAAGCTTTACCGCTTGCTCTGTAATATGAGTAGTATTTTGATTTCAATAACAATTTTCTTACATTAATTAATGAATATTGAAATATATAAACATGAAATATTGAAAAGATGCCATTTTAGATTTGGCAATTTTTTCAATATATCATTGAACATGACAATACTCTACAGGCATTTCAAAGTTCCAAAGTGGGATCTCTGCTAGTTTTATAAGTTATGGCCTTTTTTAAAGCGGCAATATATAACTTTTTGGGCGACCTGACCAAATTCACATAGAAATGTGAGTTAAAGATCTGTCATTCTCATTGAAAGCAAGTCTAAGAAGTGGTATATCTGTTCTATGTTTGCAAATTTCTATGCTTCCAGTTCGTAAGTTTGCATTTTGCATCTTTAACTTTCGGTTTTGTACACTAGCTGAAAATACAATATTTTTTGTTATGTAAAATATTTCACAGCGGTTTAGATGGTACAATGATTCTCTACACTATACTTGCTTGTTTTGTCACAAACTGAAATTAGGCAACTATTAGAATTTTAGCAACCTGGAAATGGCGGAGCGATTTCTGTATAGTGCACCTTTAAACAGAGAAATTGGCATAGTAACCAATCACACGCCTCCTTTTACTTGTATCATTGCACATTCTGCAAATCACCAGCAGAGGTCAACCATTATGAATCCATTTTCACATTCACTCTGGTGGTAATGCTTCCAAATTGGATCATAACTCTAAAAGTAGCAGAGATCCAACTCTGGAACTGTGATATGCCCGTAGGCCAGTGGAGGCTGCTGAGGGGAGGACCGCTCATAATAATGGCTGGAACGGAGTCAATAGAATGGCATCAAACATGTGGAAACCATGTGTTTGATGTATTTCCACTGATTATGCTCCAGCCATTACCACAAGCCCATCCTCCCCAATTAAGGTGCCACCAACCTCATGTTCCGTAGACATATAGTATAATTATGTTTAACAAGATATTGAACATCTTGCCAAATAAAAAAGTATATATTTTCTATATTCATAAATAGATATAAGAAAATTGTTATCGAAATCAAAATACTACTCATAGGCCTCCCGAGTGGCGCAGCGGTCTAAGGCACTGCATCGCAGTGCTTGAGGCGTCACTACAGACCCGGGTTCGTTCCCAGGCGTATCACAACCGGCCGTGACCGGGAGTCCCATAGGGCGGCACACAATTGGCCCAGCGTTGTCCGGGTAAGGGGAGGGTTTGGCTGGGGGGGCTTTACTTGGCTTAACCAGCCGCACCAATGTGTTAGAGGAAACACTGTTCAACCGGGCGTCTGCAGGCTGACTTCGCTCGTCAGTTAAACAGTGTTTCCTCTGACACATTGGTGCGGCTGGTTAAGCGGGCGGGTGTTAAGAAGCGCGGTTTGGCGGGTCATGTTTCAGAGTACGCAAGACTCGACCTTCGCCTCTCCCGAGCCCGTTGGGGAGTTGCAGCGATGAGACAACATCGTAATTGGATCGCAATTGGATATCACGAAATTGGGGAGAAAAAGGGGGGTAAAAATACAAAAAAATTAAAATACTACTCATATATTACAGAGCAAGCTTTCTAGCACATACAGATTAAACTTATTATGGAGTCTTAAAGAAGTCCTGAATGTCAGAAATATTCCAACTTCAATTAATTATTTCTCAATTGTTTAAAGATACAAATGTCAAATATATACTGAGTGTACAAAACATTAGGAACATTAGCACTGTACTTTCCATGACATAGACTGACCAGGTGAATCCAGGTGAAAGCTATGAGCCCTTATTGATGTCACTTGAGGGTGAATTGGCAAGACAAAATATTTAAGTGCCTTTGAACGGGGTATGGCAGTAGGTGCCAGCCGCACTGGTTTGAGTGTGTCAAGAACTGCAACGCTGCTGGGTTTTTCATGCTCAACAATTTCTTGTGTGTATCAAGAATGGTCCACCACCCAAAGGACATCCAGCCAACTTGATACAACTGTGGGAAGCATTGTCCAGCATCCCTGTGGAACACTTTTGACACCTTGCAGAGTCCATGCCCTGACGAATTCAGGCTGTTCTGGAGACAAAAGGGGGTGCAACTCAATATTAGGAAGTTGTTCCTTATGTTTTGTACACTCAGTGTATGTCAATAATCCTTCCTCCAAAGGACCCTTATATGAATTAAATGTTGTTTTTTGTTCTAGTTTTGTGAGGAATCACCCCTCTTGGTCTTTGCTCACTTGCCTGTCCATTCTCTGTTTACCCCCATAAGGAGAGGCCAAACAGCATGAAGAGCTGCTCCTCGAGCTCAGCCGACGACAGTGACCCCAACACCACTCCTGATGGACAGGTGCTTCAGGTACGTGCTAGTACCCTGTCTAGGCCTTTCTCTGTTACAGGACCTCTGGATAGTACTTGGTGTGAGCACATGAACAACAGTGTCTAACTATTTTACCTTGTTTAGAGTTTGTCACTAGGAAGTTCCTCACAGCCATATTCCATCTGAATACACTGACAATGTAGACATTGTGTCTCCATTTGTGAAACTGCTGTAACCTTTTGATGAACTATTTATCCCTGAACAGATTAATCCGGTCCCAGACACTCATCCTCTGCTAGTGTTTGTGAACCCTAAAAGTGGAGGCAAGCAGGGAGAAAGGTGAGGCTACTTGTGAGCACTCCTACACAAATGGGCATTTATTGTTTATTTACTAACCATGTCAATCTTCATATTTTACAATGACAAGCCCTATTTTATTTCAGAGTTCTGCGTAAATTTCAGTATTTGCTGAATCCACGGCAGGTGTATAACCTCTCCAATGGTGGACCTGGACCAGGGTAAGGTTTCCCATATGGATAACTGCATATGGTATAGACCACTATTAGAATAAAATGGAAAACGACTCTGTTCTGCTGCATCACTAATTGGACAACTCTGCTATATTTAGCTACTTTGAATCTCAAAAAATTACATTTAAGAGGTTTACATTTTAGGGAGTATGATTGTGTGTGAGCCTCAACTTTAATGTTTCTGGTAATGAAATTATATTATCTTATTGTTTGAATATGCAACGGTTTTGAGACGTTCTAAAGCGAAAGTTTGTATCAAAATGATAGAACAGCTCTGCTAATTTTTTTAACAGTAGGGTAGTCTAGTGGATTATTTGAAACGTTGTAGAACGCTTTGCATTCTGAACACACCCTTGGTTCTACGCGTCTTCAAACTTTTCACAGTAGAAGTCCTTTAAGTTTTCAAACCACGAAAATTATAGTAAACTGCTCAAATGACCGCAGTTTATATAAAAGTCACCTTATTGCTGTGTAAGCCATTATAATATTATATAAATGCATAAAATGTTATACAATTTAATTTTAAATACGTTTTTAGGTGAATACTTTTATTTTGAAACTTTGGGGCACTATAGAGGATTTACCTAGCTAGCAACTTGCTATCGCGTTCAGAATTGTGCGAATGAATACATTCCTCAACAAATTCGATGGATTTGGATCAAATTAGGCTCAGTCACAGGCTATAAACTATGCGAGGCAAGGGAGCTCTGCGTGTTCAAACGAAAGCAGACAAACACAGACGAAAAAAGAATTTCAGCGAAAGAGAGATACAAGTGTTGAACAAGGAGGTCATGCGCCACGAAAATATCTTACGCATGGGAAATAAACGGAGTGGTGAATGGCAGCGAATTTGGGACAGTATTACATGGGAAATCAATGCAGTGGGGGGCGCGAGGCGAACAGTAAGCGACGTGAAGCATAGGTGGCGAGACGACAGGCTCAGAGCTAGAAAGAATAAAGGAGTATTGAATAATGCTGTACTGCACTGTACTGCTGTAGGACATGCAGTTGTAGACATTTTGAAGGATCAGATACCATCACAGATTGAGGCTGAGCAGCAACAGTCAATCACTGTGAAAACAGAGGAAGAGGAATGCACCTTCGTAAGAGAAACATCAGTCACTGTTGTGAAATCGGAGGGTGAGTTGTGTTAAAAACATGACTTTAGTTTAATTACATTAGATATGGGATTTTGCATTTAGTTAACTTTATGCTTCATCTTCACTTTCAGAGGGGGCGCCTCCATCTCTTGGAGGTTCTTTGGTTACTCCTGTACCTCCAGTCCTATTGACACTACCTCTGGATGGTGCTTCAGTCACACCACCTTTGGGCCCCAGCATTAGTGCAACGTTTCCCCTCAACTTGGAGAATAATGGCCCCTATCAGAATGCAACCTCACACAAAGAAAACACAAAGTATCATGATCCACTCCCTCCTTCTGGGAAGCTGACAACACTACAGTCAATGTGCCAAGGGCTAGCCAGATGCTCCAGCCTGCTCAGTACAGTCAGTGACATGGCCTTGACCGTTAATGACATGATGCAGCATCAGGTTGAACACAGTCAGAATATGATGAGTGTCCTGGAGAGAATAGCAACAGCTGTAGAAATGAGAAATGCTGGTCTACCTCCTACCTCTCAACAGAAATGAAACCACTGCAGTCTCCAGAAAACCAAGGCACATCTGTCTTCGGTGCTGACTTTAACAACTGGAATAAACTGGGAGAACAGAGATCATTCTCTGTACAGTAAAGTCACTGTAAACTAAAGTTTAAACAGCAGTGTTTTGATGTCTTAAAATGTGATGTGCTGCTGTAGGCATATGGTCTAGGCACTAATATCAATAAGGATCTGAGAAAGATATCCAGGTCCCAAATTGAGCAATACTACCGATGTCACTGATCTTCCCAAAATTTTACTATGATAGATGATTTTGGATACAATACTGTCATTGTTAATTTAGTTATCTTCTACCTCAAATTTAGTCATCTGTGATCTTGGTGTCTGATATAAACTTGGTGTCTTGCACATATAACCATGATGTTAATCATGGGTTATCTCAATGTTTTGATGACTTTGTTAAGCATTTTCTATCTGATTTATTTTCATATCTTTTGTTTTTTATAAGTTTTGTTTAGAAATCACCCAAAAAAATAAAAAATAAAATTCAGCTCTTTGTTGACTTGAATGGCTTATATCTGTCTGAGATGCCATAACCATCAGTGAATGTCACTTTTAGGTCCTGTCCTGCACCCACAACATAATATTAAATCTGTGTTTCAGGCTGTCCTTCTTCAGAAATCTGAAGGATTACAGGATCTTGGTTTGCGGAGGGGACGGCACTGTGGGCTGGATACTTGATGCCATAGGTGGGGTCAAGTACACAATGTTGGTAAACCATGTGGTGTACATGCCAGTAAACAAATCAACTTCAGTGTATGAGTACAAACTATGAATTTCCTAACCAAACACTCATACATGTTACAGAAATGGCATCCCATGTAGTAGACATGAGTAATATTGATCTCTCTTGCTCCCCTTCTGGTTCAATCAGACAAAGCCAATCTTCAAGTGCGGCCACCTGTGGCTGTGTTACCCCTGGGCACAGGAAATGACCTTGCGCGTTGTCTTAGATGGGGAGGAGGTGAGTACAGGGTTGTCCTTCTTTCATTATACCTGTTGTGTGTTCACAGATCATATTTCCTGTATCGGCTGTCCATAGTTCTACTGTATGTGATGAATGAATCACTGTCTCTGGGTGTTCATCTTAGTTTCTTCTTTTATGTTTTTGTACTTGTGTGTGGGACCGTTGGTAGCACATAATTATCCCTTATAGTGTACCTCTGTGGTCTGTGTAGGTTATGATGGGACAGATCTGTGTCGGATCCTGAAGGAGATCGAGGTCAGCACCCCGGTGCTGATGGACCGCTGGAATGTAGAGGTGATCCTAGAGGACCCCCAGGAGACGGGAGACCCTGTGCCTTATGAGATCATCAACAACTACTTCTCCATCGGAGTGGTGAGTTAGGAACAAGGGGACTTAAATTCTAGCCTGGTCCCAGGTCTGTTTGTGCTATCTTGCCAACTCCTATGGCTATTTTCACATTGAAGACAGCAAAAACTGATTTGTGACCAGGCTACATACTTACGACACACACCAGAATGCTTTGTTATGAACTTTTCAGAACTTGTTGTGTGTTGACAGGATGCCTCTATTGCCCACCGTTTTCATACGATGAGAGAGAAACACCCCCAGAAATTCAACAGCAGGTAAGCACATTTGAATAACCAGGCCAGAGTCATATAGTCCACACATAGTACATGTGGGGACTAGCCTTTTAGGGGTAGTCACCTTGTGCATGGCGTAAATGACCCTACGTTAATCCAATATTTCAGAATGAAGAACAAGTTGTGGTACTTTGAGTTTGCCACCTCGGAGACCATCTCTGCTTCATGCAAGAAACTGAATGAATGTCTTACAATTGAGGTGAGGATGCTTTGCGTCAGCACATATAAACACAGTAGCTTTCTAAAAAAAAACGTGTATCTTAACACATACCTCAACAGTCTGCAAACAAGCACATATTTTTAGCATGCAGAATTACATCGAGGTTGTGGTTAACACAGGTGACCTGATAGTTCTGTGGTATGCCTTATGTTTATCTCATTATGGCATCTCATTAAGTTGCTATGTCTGTCTGATGTTGTACGTCCCTCAGTGCTGCAGCACCCCATTGGACCTGAGTGGCCTTTCTATGGAGGGGATCGCTGTCCTCAACATTCCCAGCATGCACGGTGGATCCAACCTGTGGGGAGAAGCCAAGAAGAGTGAATGCAAGTGCTTGAGGAATCCTCAGGAAATGCCTATGGTTATTGTTGACCCTGAAGTCCTGAAAGTCAGTGGACAAGGTACAGCGATATCCCTTGGCATTAACCAAGATTTCAAAATGTTAAAGGGTGTTTCTGGTAAATGATATTGTTAGGATATCATGTGAGATGTTATAGAGTATCCATTTCAAGAGGTCAGTTCTCATGTCACAGCTGTTAAAAGAGAAACATAATTTTTATTGGAAGAGGCCCTTGACCCTGGATGGGTCGTGAAGTAGGTTTGAATCTTAACAGCTGGTCTCAGACTGAAAACTACTGCCTCTCTGTGTGAATTGCATGTTCAGTGTTTCCGTCTTCCATAACAGACCTCAGTGACCGGCGTTTGGAGGTGGTTGGCCTTGAAGGGGCCATGGAGATGGGACAGATATATACAGGACTCAAGAGTGCTATACGACTAGCAAAAACCTCCCAGATCACAATCAGGTGAGTATTTGTGACATGTTGAGACGTGTACAGACTGGATGAGATATAAAATGCACCTTAAAAAAAACATTCCATCCCCACTACTTATCTCGCTTATCTCTGTCCATCTCTCAGGACTAAGAAACCTTTACCAATGCAGATAGACGGAGAGCCCTGGATGCAGCCACCCTGTACGGTGAGTGCTAGGAACACAGTTTGCCAAGCAGAGTTGAAGCAGGTTCAGTTGCTAGAGACCATTGGACTTGATGCTAATAATATGTTGTTAATATAACATGGTAACATGTTGGTATCATGGTAGTAACATGGTCATTTGAGTAAATCAACCTTTTTCTCATATTCCCGCTTTAGATTCACATCACACACAAGAACCAGGCCAGTATGCTGATGGCTCCCCAGGGCCGGTCCAGCTTCTTCAGCTCAAAGTAGTAGCCTGCTCCCTGGCTACAAACTGTGACATGGCTGGCCTGTATGCACTTGCTTATTATTATACATTTTGTTAAAGGCCCAGTGCAGTCAAATGTAATTTTCCTGTGTTTTATATATATTTCCTCACTGAGGTTGGAATAATATTGTGAAAATTATTATAATGTCCTTTTAGTTTAAGAGCTGTTTGAAGAGACTGCCTGCAATTTCAGCCTGTTTTGGTGTGATGGAGTTTTGGCCATCCATGGTGACATCACCATGCGGTAAATTAGTGAATAGACCGATAAGAAAGAGTTCCAAACCTCTCTGTCAGTGCCAATAGATGTGGTAAAGAGGTCAATGGAAGTTGACCAAAACAAGAGAAATGCCATGGAAACACGTGGGGGGAAAGATCCCGACTCTCCCCATTGCCCCCCCCAGCAAAATTACCCTACATTTAGGTTATTGTTTATATGTGTATTTCACACTATGTTGAGGTAGAAATCGGCGTATAATGCTTGTATGGATGTCAACCCCAATACATGTTCATGTCACCAATCAACTGCATTATAGTTGAAAACAACTTTGATTACCACCACCAATTTCTGTATGCTAGCTATACTTCCAGCTTATACCAACGGGAGTTAGCATTTAGCAGTCACTTCTTCTAAACCTGAAAAGGCACAACTTATTGATGTTATGTAGCTAAAACTTATCAAAATCAGACTTCAGTAAACACATTGTGTATAGGGTGAGTTCCAAGCTGCCTCTGGAAGCAACGTCAGAACAATAACTGTTCGTCAGGAGCTTCATGAAATGGGTTTCCATGGCCGAGCAGCCTCACACAAGCCTAAGATAACCATGTGCAATGCCAAGCGTCGGCTGGAATGGTGTAAAGCTCGCTGCCATTGGAGCAGTGGAAACGTGTTCTCTGGCGTGATGAATCACGCTTCACCATCTGGCAGTTCGACGGATGAATTTGGGTTTGGCAGATGCCAGGAGAACGCTACCTGCCCGACTGCATAGTGCCAACTGTAAAGTTTGGTGGAGGAGGAATAATGGTCAGTGGCTGTTCTTCATGGTTCGGACTAGGCCCCTTAGTTCCAGTGAAGGGAAATCTTAACGCTACAGCATACAATGACATTCTTTACGATTCTGTGCTTCCAACTTTGTGGCAACAGTTTGGGAAAGGTATTTTCCTGTTTCAGCATGACAATGCCTCTGTGCACAAAGCGAGGTCCATACAGAAATGGTTTGTCGAGATCAGTGTGGAAGAACTTGACTGGCATGTACAGAGAGGCCTGACCTCAACCCCAACAAACACCTTTGGGATGAATTGGAACACCGACTGCGAGCCAGGCCTAATCAATGCCCAACCTCACTAATGCTCTTGTGGCTGAATGGAAGCAAGTCCCCACAGCAGTGTTCCAACATCTAGTGGAAAGCCTTCCCAGAAGAGTGGAGGCTGTTATAGCAGCAAAGGGGGAACAACTCCATATTAATGCCCAGAATTTTGGAATGAGATGTTTGACGAGCAGGTTTCCACATACTTTTGGTCATTACATTTTAGTCATTTAGCAGACGCTCTTATCCAGAGCGACTTACAGTTAGTGAGTTCATACATTATTTATTTGTTCATACTGGCCCCCCGTGGGAATCAAACCCACAACCCTGGCGTTGCAAGCGTTGCAATTGAGCTACACAGGGCCCATGGTCATGTTGTCTATGTTATGAATTGCAATTCATATTTGGAAAGGAAAGGGGGGATACCTAGTCAGTTGTACAGCTGAATGCATTCAACTGAAATGTGTCTAACGCATTTAACCCAACCCTTCTGAATCAGAGATGTGCGGGGGGCTGCCTTAATCCACATCCACGTTATCGGCGCACGGAGAACAGTGGGTTAACTGCCTTGCTCGGGCAGAACAACATATTTTTACCTTGTCAGCTTGGGGATTCGTGTATGTTTATGGGCTTCCCCTGTAGCTCAGTTGGTAGAGCATGGTGCTTGCAACGCCAGGGTTGTGGGTTAGTTTCCCACGGGGGGCCAGTATGAAAATGTATGCACTGACTGTAAGTCGCTCTGGATAAGAGTGTCTACTAAATGACCTAAAATGTAAATGTATGTATATATAGAAAGTCTAGAATTTCCTAGGATTGATTAAGTTATGAAATATTTAGAAGTGCATAAAGCTTGTGGTAATATACCCACAAGTCGTAATTAATGCAGATGTTATATGAAATTGTTATGCGCTCGTTAGTGCTTCTGTATGTAAGCAGGAAACCTTTTGCTCCAATGTTCTATGGCCAAACCACATTTTAATTGTTTTAAAAGCAGAACTAAAATGTCCTTTTTAAATAAACCTTTAGTTTTAATATATTGAGTGACAGTTTGGATTGAAAACTAATTGTTTACATCTGTCTCAATGCAAGGCCTTAGTTTCTCGTATTCAGTATCTCTAATTGGAGGTTAGCCATATCTTAAATCCTGAGAATGTAAAAAATATTTCAAATGATGCTGTATATATTTCAATAAACCATCATGACATTATGTAATGTGGTGTGGTTATTATCGAATGAATAGGTAACCATTTTATGATTTGTTTCTTTATTAGTTAGGGCTAAGAAATGTCAAGGTATTGTATTTTGGTCTCACCAACTCTGTTTGGTTTGACCAAAATATATGCATGATCACAGGGGGGCGCCACTTGCTCCGTTTCAGCAGTCGGTTCTGTGTGGGCCTCATTGGCAGGGCCCTGTGACTTTATACCTATGTTGATAGGCTACATTCACAGATGGATTATTAAAAGCAATTTATACAATGGGTGGTTTGGAATTCCCATTGTTAGAGTCTATCTGCCCATGATATACTAGACAGCATACACATGGCCAGTACATTCATAAAAAGTGCCATCATTTGTGGTTACCTAGCAACGCACTACTACTACTTTTGCAGATCCACTGTCTGTCTCATCTGCACAGCCATGCGATTTATAAACTTGATCTCCACTAAAAAGCATCTAGACATTATCTCCGACATTTGCAATATTGTAGCAATATTAAAATTCAATCTCCACTGTGTCCCATAATAATGAACGAGTCGGGACCAGACAGAAGGGAAGATTTTCTCAGCCAGTCGAATCATGAAAACAGGTCAAACGAAACGAAATGCAGCTAGTTTGCGGAGTTTCCAGCTTCAGTCTGAAGTGATTGTGTTAGCTGTAAAGTTGGATAGCTAGCAAGGGGGAAGAGCCTACATAGCAACCACTTTTGTTTGCCATAGTAACCTGCAAAGTTCTGGAACTATCAACCAGTGGTTGGGTAGTTTTACTTTACATGGCAGTCAATACGAATAGAACTAATGACCAGAGCGCCTAAAAGTGCACATGACAACCAGTTTTAGTGAATGTAGCATTACGTTTTGTTGAAAAATGTATGGTTTGGGAAATAATCTTGCCTTTTAATGCTGGTAACCCTTTGTTCCCAACTAATCTGATAATTGTATAATTTAAACAGCTGTAGCCTATCTTAAACCGAGACTATTGTTATTTTTTAAAATGTAGGCCTTATTGCTTAGATTTTAGAGAATGTAGGCCATATCTCACAAGTGGCGCAGTGGTCTAAGGCACTGCATCGCAGTGCTATTAGCTGTGCCACTAGAAATCCTGGTTCGAATCCAGGCTCTGTCGTAGCAGGCCGCGACAATGGGGCGGCGCACAATTGGCCCAGCGTCGTCAATTGGTAGAGCATGGCGTTTGCAACGCCAGGGTTGTGGGTTTGATTCCCACGGGGGGCCAGTATGAAAAAAATTATAATGTATAAATGACTAAAATGTATATAGGCAATGGATTTCTCAGACACGTGAGACTTTTTCACACTGCACAAATTGCTCATTTCTTGGCCCATTGGTTTTTGTCAACGTGCACAAAGTCCCGATCGCCAAACAAATGAAAACACAACCGTCCAATTGTGTCATGTGCATCACAGCAGGGACCGCCTTCTGGGCAATGTGCATGCTGCCTGGACAGAAGCATCGTTGGCTGTGCTAGAGTAGCGGGAGCGATATTGTGGACATTTTACTCAGACATTTTCTGTTTATCTTAGCTTTTTTTTTTAAAAATCACATCACATAATATGAAGAATATGACTCTCCGAAGGCTTAAAAAAGTAAACTCCTATGATCCAGCTAGTGGACTTTCGAGCCAGGACGATATTTACTTTCCGTCCTCAAAGTCCGACAGTTTTAAAACTATGGATTTACCAACTAATTCCTCGGAGGTGTATAATTACAAGACTTTGGCATACTCTGGTGGAACGTTGCCAAGGAACTACAGAAAGGTATGTATTCTGTGTTACAGTGATGGTAACTTTCTTACATTGTAACTTGCACTTGCTCCTTCAATTAATGTCGCGTTCACGTTCTATTCGGAAGTAGGATACTCGGAAATGTCCGACCTGCTAATGCGTTGAACGTGGAACGTGAATAACTAGAACAAGTTAGTAAATCAGAAATGTCCTAGTTCCGACCAGCACGTGAACGCGGCAGAAGAAGTTTACTAAACATACCAATGAAAGCAGAAGCGTCATGCCTATAGGTGGCACGTGCCCACTTAGATTTGTCCTGTTAAATTTGTTGTTGTTGTTGTTGTTGTTGTTGTTTCTCTGTAATACTGCAAGCCAAGCACCTAGCAATTTTATGAAGTTGGCTTTAGCTAGCCCAGATAGTTTCCCAATCTCAACTAGGTACACTCTTATGGAAAAACAAAAAAAAGTGCTATTTAGAACCTAAACAGGTTATTCGGCTGTCCCTATAGGACAACCCCGTTTTGGTTCCAGGTATAACTCTTTTGGGTTCCATGTAGAACCCTTTTCACAGAGGGTTCTACATTTGACAGAGGGAACTAAAAAGGGTTCTCCTATGGGGACAGCCGAAGAACCCTTATGGAACCCTTTTTTCTAAGAGTGAACTAAGAAGCCATGTCAGGCTGTCAATCAAATTAGAGTAGCTAGCTTGTCTAACTATC